AACCTTCTCTCACTTAATACCCTTAATCTAATTATTTTCCATCAGACACGAGGAAGAAATTTCACTACAAATGGGTGACGATTAATATTACATTAGGAAAAAAAAAATATTGCACTATTAAAATGAAAGCAGAGTTATACATTCAAGGCACATTTCAAACCGACACCCAAGCCTGACAGCCCTTCAAGAATCCCAGCTCGCACATCTCAAAAGATTCTTCAATAACAGGGTTGGGTTTAAGCTTATATGTCAGGGCACAATGCAGCCCTTGTTTACCACCATATGGAGGTGCACACACAGAATTCTCCAAAAGTAAAGAAAGCAAAGGCTTAAAAGGAATGAGTCAAGAGCCTCCCTTTTGACAAAAGTAGCCTATTTCGACAGCTGATTCCCTCTTTTAAAAGCATACGGCACACATAAAATAAATACAGGTCACAAAAATTAACAAATCATCATAACTGTCTAATACATCCTGGGCTGGCTGCGGAAAAACAAGATCATTTTGGATTTATATCTCTAAGTATGGGATTTCCTGGACAGCTAATATCCACAAACAATCAAACACAGAGGACCATGAGAAAGAAGCAGCATTATTTCAAATTTGAGCTGAGAGTCGTGATTTTTAAAGGGCTGAAACAGGAACTGGAACTGAAATCTGAAGCAAGTAAATTCCTTTACTAGGCACTGATGGACACTGTTGTGTTTCTCTTGGCCCTGGCGGAGGCTTTTAGGTCACTGGGTTTTGGATGTTACAGCAGATGAAAATCTTAGAACCGCAGAAACTTCAAAAATGATAAATAACTCGAATCTTGCCCCCATCCTCAAAAAAAAAGAAAAAAAAAAACCCAAAACCTAATGATACTTCTCTAAAAAGAGTCGCACCTTTTTATGAGACCTGTTGCCAATATTAGTGCCACCGAATGATCTCATCTTTCATTCTGGCTAAATTCCAACACACAATTTCATTAACCCAGGTACTGCAGGTGATAAAACTCATTTTTCCCTAAAGAGACAGCTAAAAAGTACCAGTTATACATTTATGAAGTACCAGCAATCAAAATTATGGATTTTCTAAAAGGTTTTTAACTACTTTTATTGAAAGGAAAATCGCTGTCTCAGACTTTTGTGACACTATTGCTAATAATAAATTTTACCATTTAGACATCGCCGTAATATGGCAGACACTGTCAATAAAAGTATGAAACAAAGATGATCCTCGTCTCTTAAGTAATGCTTTCTGATTACACACCGGAAATTATAAGGCGAAACATAAACTAAGAGCACCTTAAGGTATAAAACGCAGTAACGCAAAATGACGCGCCTCGCTCTGGGTACGCCAGGGGCAAAAAAAAAATTTTCAAAAAAAAAATTTCATCGTGCGCAGCAGGCGGGCGCTCGAGGTGAAAATGTTCATAGGCGTGCGTAGAAATGAAACCCGAGGTGGCTGGGCTCGAGGTGGCCCGCCATTTCGCGGGCGGAGGAGCGAAGCAGGGTTCTCCTGAGGGACGCTACTTTGGGGTTCCTGGCAAAC